GGGGGGGGGGGGGGGGGGGGAGGATCGATTATCGTGATCACGCAACGGGGGATTTTCGTAGCGGACACGGGACGATTCTCATCGATTCCTTCGTCCTTGTGCCCCCTCGCCGCTCCTACCTGAGTCTACATGTCATGTGTTCAAACAAAACAGAGAGAGAGAGGATAAGTGAGGGGGAGGACTTGGCAGAAATTTGACAAGCCGGTTGCCGTTGCATTCGATTTGGCTTGGGGGATTTTTCTCTTCCCCGAGGGACTAACAAAGGGGAGACGGGCTCTCTCCGCTTCGTTTCCATCGTTACGTGGATTGGGGATGCGGGGGTCGCGCAGCCTGGGAAGGGGGTGTATACACTGGGGTGTATCTCTGTGTGTGTGTAATGGGAGGGAGAAGGGGGGAAGAGAGGGAGGGAGGGAGGGACGCTGCGTGTGCGGGGGATCGATGGGAGAGAGGGAAGAAGCGACCACTCCCTGCTCTCTCGTTCGCGAGTCTCCTCCATCCCGAGAGGGGGGGGAGGGGGAGGGGGGGTATGCTGGGACAGATGCCTGGGAATCGGGTTGATGAGTGCCCCTGGGTGATCCTCATGTCTTGGCAGGCATGAAGCGTGAGGCAGGCGAGGATCGCGACTTCGACGCCCAGATGAAGAAAGCCAAAGTCGGCGACACAGAGATCAGGCTCCTCATCCCCAGCAAGGTAAGGGTGGCGTTGACTTCTGTGGGGGGGGGTTTTTTAGATGTCGCTGTACGGTTCATTTATTGGGGGGAACCGGTTCTTTGTAGAGTGCTGGGTCCGTGATCGGGAAGGGAGGGCAGAACATCTCCCGGCTCAGGAACGAGGTTAGCATCACGGTTTGTCTGTTTTGGAATATGATATGATAGTTCAAGAGGTATCTTTCTTCTTCTGTGCCATGACATCATTCTCTTGGAATTCCACCAAAATGTATTTGCCTTTTCTCTGTTTTCAGTCAGTTTGCATTAAACTTTACCTGGGTAAATTATAATGAAAAAAAGTTGAAAATTTTGAGGAATGATTAGGGAAGTGGAAGGAATCGATGTGAGGACTTGCTCGGTTCTCTGTTTTTCTCTCTTTCTTATGACCAACCTGTGCCCACCATGCAAACTCCACCACCACCACCACCATTCGAATGCCGACCCTGACATTGGTCCCCCATGCAATTTGTCAAACACTGGCTGCCCTGCCCCCCAAATCCCCAAGTATAATGCCAGTATTGTGATCCCCGATTGCCTGGGACCAGAACGGTATGCACAAGTCTTCTCTTCCTACGATGCATTTCTTTGTCATTTGTCTCTGGTTATCACTTGCCAAAGTGGGCAACTTTTTGTGACTATTCCTTGGACCACCTTAGTCAAGCAAATGGATGATTTTGAGAACTTGATTTTGTTGGAATATTTTCCAAATTTGCTCTGCAGATTTAGCAACTATGTAAGTGCTTGATTCTGCTTGCTTCCTCTATTTGCAGGGGTTCAACGATTAAAAATGTATTTGGTCTTGGTGGGGAAAGTGCATCAATAAAAAATACTGAACTATTTAGTTTTTGCTTGCTTTGCTCTAAATTTTAAGGCTGAAATGGAATAATGGAAACTACCCCTTGTTACCTGCTGGTATGATTAATATTTAATGTAATATTTTTCCTTGAGAAGCATCTGAGTCCAGGATTCAGCAGTCATACTCAATATTTGGAAAATAATTTTGCTGTGTGCATTCATGTTGTGCCTCTGGATCAATATTAATTTCGGCATGGTTTTGAAATCAGGGTTTAGTCATTAAGCTGCCAGAAATTACCCCCTAATTTTTAAGGATCGTGTCATTTCAGTCCTCTTATATTGCATTTATAGATCATGATAAGAACATTTCCTCATGGTAAAAATTGTCAGCTGTAAATTCTTGCCTACTTTTTTTTAGCATGTTCATTTTGATAGAGGAACAGCTGGTAGTCAGCAGGTGTGAACCCCATTGAGGTAGTGAGGAAAAATCACCTCCAAGTATGGAAAACGAGAATGCTAGTATGTTTTTTTTTTGAGTCGCAATTTCATTGTTCATTTGAAATTCATGCTTTCATGGATGTTTCATATTTTCATCCATGCATAGCATCATTAACAGAGTCATTGGCAAAGGTTTCTCTTTGTCATTCTTGATGAAATTAAAACTGCTCTAGAAGGCACATTCTGAGTGCTAGTCGGTCTGTGTGTCTACGTGCCGCTTTGACGGTGTCTTCCGTCAAAGGGTCTTCGTGTGTCTTTGTCTATTTAATTTGTTCAAAATGCATGTTTGGAAGCGATGGTCTGATATTGGAGGTGTGTGTGTTGTGCTAATACTTTGATCAGGGTGCTGACGATCCAGGCAGGGGAGGAAGATGCCCTGAATGTCCTTCACGAAGCCATCCCTCTTCTGGATGAGGTGAGCCATTGACATCCCTCCTGCCCTCATGATATACATCAGTTCACCTCTTCTGTTGGGGTTGAAGTAGGAAGTGATTGAAAAGACCTATCTATGCTTGAGAAAATAACGGTTGGGAGAGGGTAATGGAGGAAATGCATCTTTCATGCCCCAGTTGAACAGCATTGAGAAGAGTCTCATCTATTGGGTAGGGCAAAGGTGAATTGAAATTATCTGCCATCTTGTGGAGCAACTTCATTAATAATATAATTAGGAAGTATGCATCGGGCAATGCAAATGATTTAATGTGCCAATGGAAAAGTGATTACTGCATCTTTTAAGTAATTTCTAATGGAAAGTTTCAATTTTCTTTATGCTACTTAAGTATCATCTTCCTGCCATTTTCAAATGATCTGATTACCTGTTGTCATGGATAGGATGGAGTAGAGCTATTTAGAGTAGCATTTGACTCTGATTGAAGGAGCCAGAACAAGAGTCAAATGATGTCAGAAGAAGGCATTGACAAGGCCTCTCTTCTCAGGTCCTGAAAAAGGCAATGTGCCTGCAGGTTTGTGGCATACATGTCCAGAGCATACCCTGGAGGCAAAGGGAAGTAGCCCTAGAAACAATAACCAGATTAGCCAACGTATGTGCAGCAGCTGAGAAATTGGTCTCTCTTTTGTCCTTTTTCTTCTTCCTCTATAGATGGTATTCATGTGCCTTGGAAAGCCAGGAGTAATGTACTGGTTTTGCCATTTAAGTATGCATTTATTGAGCTGATTATAATGGTGAAATTTTAGATGCATTTAGCTAAGCAGAATTTTTAATGAGTTGTCATTTTGCTGCAATGGTCTTACTGATAAAGAGTCTGTTCATTGGCTTTTTGTAGTTTATAGTTTAATCTCTTCAGGTCTGAGTGGCATGTATATGTGCCATATCCTGTTGTGCTCTGTAAATTAATTTGTTCAATATATAATGAAAATTGGCTGTGATATTGTGTGGCAGTTCCCATTGAAGTATTTTTAAATTATATTTCCCTTCCATTAACCTAGTCTATGATGCCCTAAACTTGTTACATGCATGAGATAGGCACTGAGACTCTCTTTGATTGAGAATATCAAATTTGGTTAATTGTGCTGTGAATTCTGATATAATTTTTTTAAATGAAATTAGGATAGTAAAAGGAAAGAGTTCCTCTACAGATCCTGCTTTCATGCTGGAACATTATTGAGCTGTATCTTATTGGTCTTTCGATAAAATAGGGATTTCCCTTGTTCAAGGCTGTTGAAGAATATGAGATAGTTGTATTGCTAAGGGTGCATTTATAAAAAGCTCATACCATCTCCACCAGTGGTTGAAACATGTAAGGACTAATTGGAGTTGTGGATTTTCTAGAAAAAAAGGATGTGGGGGAATGTGAGGATTTGTGTGAAATGGAGCGGGCTGTTGCTCTGTATACATTGTGTCTAATTATATCTCCTCTAGCCTGTCCGTCCTCTCCCTTTGCCTTTTCGTTGCTACCTCTTAGTCTCTGTCTACCCTGTATTTCTTATCCCCTCATGCAAGGATATCTTTGTTTTTTTCCAAAGGAAAACTGAGATTCAAGGGAATATAGACTTCACAATAAGGGAAAAAGTGTGGGGGGGGAATCTATTTAAAAAAGGAATAAATTGGCTATTAAAAGCAATAGGGTCTTGCCTTCCCAATGATACCCTTTTAAGGTTTTTAGCTTGGTTGGAGACATCTCAGATGTGCATAAAACAATCTAAATAGAGGATTTCTATGTACTAATATGGAGGAAATAAGTTTGAATCTCATGGTATGGTAAGGAAAATCATGAAAGCCCTATTTTATGTTCATTCCTCTTGCTGAATGACTGTTGACTTTGAAGATGCCAATCTGGGAAAAGATGAGCTATGATGAAGCAAAATAACAGCAATCAACCCCATTTCTTTGTACCCCATTCAGGTGGTGCAGACCATGAAGAGCCCGTCGACCCAGGGCACCGAGGTGAGGATGCTAGTCCATCAGAGCCAGGCTGGTTCCATCATTGGCAAGGGAGGCAGTCGCATAAAGGAACTCAGAGATGTAAGCATTTTCCTGCACTTTTCAAAGAGCTGTCAGAGCATTAATCATTTTCATCCCTACTTTGAGAGAAAGTGGCACTTGAATATAAGGGTCATCTTCCATGCACAATAGAATATGGGCTTTCATCCAACCTGTAATGAGCCTCATGGCTGTGAATAATTGAAGTCAGGGGGTGTGTCCATGTGCACACACCTGGCACTGATAGTGGGTACATTCTCCCTGTAGCCTCATTTTACTCCAGTGTTCAGATGGGAACATTCCCTTTTGTTCTTTGCGACAGGAGACAGGAGCAAACATTCGCATCTATGGGATCTCGTGCCCTCAGAGCACCGACCGAGTCGTCCAGATCACCGGAGAACCTGAGGTGATCCTCAATTGTATCCGCAGCATCCTACATGGCATCAACTCAGTCAGTTCCATTAATCTTCACTAATCCATGTGTCAAGCTATAATCAATAACTTTATGATGTTATTGGTACATTAATCACTGATATTGGAAGATCATGAGGATTGATTCTGGGACTAAATTTATGAAGAGAACAACCCATTCAATGCTGTGTAATATAAAGAACTTTTTTCAAGCAGCTATGAAGGTAAAAATGAATTCAATAGAGCTGTCCAAGCATCCATGAATAACTATGGAAGAGGAGTTTTTTTTCCATGAGATTGAAGTCCTTTCCCATCAATTGGCACAAGTGTTTATGTCCAGAACAGTTATGTTTGAAAAACATATTCTCTCTATTTAGTTGATCTCGTTTCCTAATGTCTCAGAAGAGGAACTTCTGGATCATCCCTTGTAGATGTTAATGCAGTTCTTTTGATTTTGAAGGGCTAGATGATGCATGAACCCTTTCTCTGACTGCAGGGCATTTATTCTGCAGCTGAATTTCCTGCAGGCCTTATTCTTGGGTTCATGCATATATGATGGCATTCTGAAGCTGGAAGATTGTCGAGATGTTGTTGTGTTAGGGCCTTTGTCCCCATGGACCTGATGCCTGCAATTTTAATGTCTGCATCAGCCATATGGAGTGACTTTGCATGCCTAGACATGATAGGTTGCTCCAGTGATTCTAGTCATTCTCGTGAGGCAGTTGAAAATGCAACAGGAAAGCAATGCTGAAGGAAAAAATTCATGAAATTTGAAATTTATTCAACTGGTGAATTGGTATATTCCTGTCAAATTTTGACAAATTAAGTCATAATGATTTTCTGAGAGATGGACAATAGTGAGATATAACTAATTTTGCCTAGTCTGAGCTTTTTTGCTCATTTGCTTCTTTCCTTCTATGAAAGCAATTTTTGAATGCCAGTGGATGAAGTCAATTCATGATCTGATTAAAGTCTCATCAGTGTGCAATTTACATTGCTTATGTATGTTACCCAGTGATGTCCATTAGCTCTGAGAGGTAATATGGTATGTGGTTAATCTGTAGTATGAAAAATCATGTGTGCATAAGTAGATAAATTTGACTGCTTGTGTGATGGGGGAAATGCTGAGAATAATTTGAAATTTAATCTGACCATGACTGAAGCAATAATTTCCATGGTGTGTACAAATTAGCTACTGGGGATATTGTGATTCAAATCAGGCTTCTCATTTTTATTATACAGTCATGTTGTTTGTCATATAGGGGTGACATTGACTTCATAAGGGAATTCTACTACATCTGCTGTAATTATGAGGATTCAACTCCTCAATTGTGAACAGTTGTCCTTGACAGTATTTTGGCATAAGTTCAGGATTCTAGGAAGTGGATTCCATAGTCCTGGAATGAGCCCCACCAACAAAAAAAAAAGCTGCAGTTCTTGTTTGAGCACAGTAGGTGCTTGGTTACTACCAGGGTTGAGGCTCTCAATAGAACCAGTCAATATTCCCAGGGAAGGATGTGGTGTGGCATTGGATGCATTAGAACTTTGCATACACTATGGAGGGTTCTGAATAATGGACACATAGAAGAGGGGGGGGGGGGAATGGTGCCTTGCCTCAGGTGAGTCTCCATGGCAACTCCCACCATAACATAAACATGGCTCCTTCCCTCATGTTGCCAGGGCAATGGCTCCACACAACACAAGCTAGGTGATGAAAAATTCAATCCTACTATCTTGTACCTTCCCCTTCTGCTCTTTTGATTGCTTCGTGTGCCCACTTCACTTCATCGCATGTCTCTCTGAAGATGGCTTCTATTCTGTGCTCATAAGAGGGGAGTACACAGGAAGAGGACAGAAGTGTAGCCTGTGCTTGGTGGATGGGCAGTGATGAGCAAATGTTGTTGCTGTGTTTGAGTGCAATCATATGTTGTGGGAACATAGTATAGGAAGTTCTGTATATGTAATTGTGAAATTTGCTAAAGTAGGCCTGCTCTTTCACTCAGAAGTGAAATGGCGGTAAACTGCCTTTCCCTTATGTCGAAGTGTTGCAGTGCTGGGATGAAAAGGTCATGGGTCTTTGCAACTAGGTGTACCACAGCCCTCTTAGTGTTTGTGTTTCCCTGGGAAAAATCGACTTGGCTAGGTAGGTCTCCCTTGGGCTAAGTAGGAACAAGGAATGGCGTACGTGTGACCCAATTAGAATGCACCAGCTACCCAGCTAGCCTGGGCTCCATTGATTGCATCCCTATTGACACCGTTGGAGGTGGGCGGGGTGTTCATACGTTGCTCTCCTCCCATTGGCCTACCCTGGGTTACTTCTACCCTGGTTGTGCCCTGGTTCTCCTCAGTTCCCACTGCATCACCCACCTCATCAACTGCTGCTCCCGGTTTTCACCCGACTTCATTTCGGCTTTGCAGAATCCAGCCAAGGGTCCGGTGAACCGCTATGACCCGCACCACTATGATGAGTACTTTGCCCCAGAGTATGGAGGTTGGGGAGATGCCTCGAAGGCAAGCAAGAGGGCTGCAGGGAGCATCCCACCTCCAGGGAATTCTCCCATGGGCCGACCTGAAGTCCCTCCTGTGTGAGTCCTGCTTCCTATTGCTATACATGCCTTCTTGCTCTCATTGCTGGGGAGTGTGTGATTGCTGATTTATGGGACTCTTAGAAGTGTTGGGTTGCTTTCATTGCGAAAAAAAAACCTTGAATATTGACATTTTTTTATATGCTTTTTATGAGTGGAAGAGAGTTTTGCCTTTTATAGGGGATTCATGATTGGGTATGGTTCTCTTTTTATCGAATACTGGCATAACACAAAGAATGGTGGACTCAGTCTAGTTGGCTTTCTGCCTCTATCAGGCCAGTGGATCCATGGTAACAGGTACCTAATTGAAATTTAAATAATTCAGCTTCATAGTCCAAGTTCAGTGCATGGAGTTTGGATTTTTCTTATAGAAAGAGTTGTATTAATGGGGATTTTAATTAATGAGTTTGCATCAGCATCAAAAGATCTTATACTTTGAATAATTAGGCTTTGAAGCTCTAATCCAGAGATTGTCTCCTGTTTTGCCAAATTGTCCAGGTTTTATACAATCTTCAACTGTAGCTTTGAGGGCACAAATTCAAGACTGACAATTTTTATAGCTTCTTATGCAGATACAAGGACTTGGAGAAAAGACAAAATGTGGTGTTCATGTCTTTTTTGGGGATTTTTTGTACAGTCACATCTCACACGGGCATATGCATGGAGGACGGGGAGGAGGTGCAATGGGACCAGGTCCTGGAATCTTCACCCCTGTGCATCATGGAGGCATAAGACCCCCTCCACCAGATTCAGGTGAGGAACAAAATTATTCTCATTTTCTTTCCACATTTTCACTAGGGTGAAAACTTGTAGATGATGTCAAATATGTTGGCAGTTGAAGCCAGTCATGATTTTTTTTTAAATAAAGACATACAAGGTTCCTCAAATTACCTTGGTTTTCCTTGGAAGATGAATAAAAGTAGTCTTACCTCTTCCTGTATTGTAATTTAGACCCCTCATTGTCCTCTTCTGATTTGACTTAGCTAACTCTTGTGCTTCTTGTGTGTCTGTTTCATCTAAGGCACAATTATCCCCATCACCTGTGTTTCAGTATGTTGCTCTTAAGATTTCTTCACTGTCTGGAATATTGATGTTTATGTTTGGTGTGGAACACGCAGGATGTCTCTAGAAAGTGCTCACTATTCTAGTAAGGAAGCAAGCTTGACTTATTCTCTCTATTCTTTGTGCTCTTTTTTTTTTCAAAGCTTCTCTTTCCTTTGATCAGTCTGCTTTAAATAATAAAAATAGAGGCCACTTGTGTTACTATTATTATTGCTTTGTGTTTTGAATATGAGCATATTGCATGGGTTTCAGAGGAAGACATTTTCCACTTATATACCTTTCTATATAAGTGCTTAATTATGTATCTTAACGGTCTATGATCATTCCCATCTCCTCCCAAGTAAATCAAGTTGTAATTGCTTCTAATGAAGCTATGCTCACTATCTTCAGCCTTCCTATGCCTTTAATTTCTGCTTGGTTCATTTCCCTGCAATGCTCTTTGCCATTCTCCAGTCACCACCTAAAAATTTTTTCCTTTTTTTTTTAGAGAGAATCTATATTGTGGATAAAGATATAAATTGAGTGCGTTAGGTGTTAGAATGTACCCAAGGTTTGTTGAGTGAGCAAAATGAAACCTTTCTTTTACAAAAGAAGGTACTCAACTGGTCTGGACTTGGCCCCACTCTTTTTCTTGCTGCAAGCAGGATTTAAACTTTTAGATTAATTATGGTTGGTTTCCTTGATGAGAATACTTCTTTTTCTTGCTTCTAGCTGCTAGTTTGTTTTGTTTTTTCTTTATCAACACTATATGAGCTGTAACCTTATTATAGTTCTTGTTGTACAAGTCATAATGTAAATTGGAAGTGTCACAGTTCATTGTTTTATTCCAAGTATTGTGAAACGTGGCGTGTGGTTTTAGCCTAAGTGATAGGTCTATAATTGTCAGTCTCTTTTCTCGTAGGACCATCACGGAAAAGCTCAAACTCCATGGAAGTTTGGAAGGACATTTAAAAAATGTATAGCCAGAGTGCATGAGCTGCCTACCCCTGCATCTTTCCATATTTCATGAGGATATGCATGATCTGAAAAACCACACTCAGTGTGTATCCAGTGGACTTTTTCATCCTAGTTCCTATGCTATATCACAGAAGGCAATGAAAATCTGACTTCCATATTGGGAGTCTCAAACCAAAGAGAGCAGTCACATTTCAATTCAGGACTTGAATCTTGAATGAAATAAAGGATTCATGGTTTGCCATTATAGAATTAGAAGCAACATCCTGCATGACTGAGTCATTCTATCTTGGGATGCTCCCAAGGGTCTTCCAGCAGATAATATTGAAATTTATTTCTGGGAAGTTGATGTATGCCTAAGGAAAAAGTCCCTTTCACCTTTCTCCATGAAATGCAACAAATGGAGAAACCAAAGTTTTCTTTTTGTTTCTTTCCTCATATACATGATTATCTTCTCAAAGAAAATGAAATTGTAAGTAGCTGCTCACATGAAGCCTGGAAACTATTTTCATGACTTCTTCTGATATGCTATGCACTTGCATTGCAGCTGTATCATAAACAGTGATTCATTTCATTATATGGTCAGATGCATGCTATTTGTTAGGCCATGAATTTGGACTTGATTCAGAAGAAATTGGGCATGGAACTTTAATTTTGGACTGCATGATATATTTCATCAAGTACCATTTTTCTAACAAAGTGCCACTCCTGCAGAGACTATGGGCAAACTGTGGCATATGGGCATGTTAAACTTGTGTAGAATAGTGATTATAATTGCTAGAGTTCTGTTAATCATAAGTTCCAATATCCTTATTGTAGTGATGGGAGATCCAAAGCCACTGCTGAGCATGAATGGGAGTGATGGGGAGCCTGTCACCCAGCAGGTCACCATTCCAAAAGAGGTAAGTTCTCCCATCCTCTCATCCTCCTGAGACTCTTACTTACATATGCTGTCATGCTCTCAAAGTTTTTGATGTCAGTAATGTGATTTATTTGATGTAATTATCCTTATGAAGTCATAATTCCCGGGGTGAATACTATTATTTAAAAGTATATTTTCTAGTGCTTGAATGATATTTAAATGTATAATATAGTGAATGTTCTTTGAACTTTTGATGCTAGTGGGAAGTCTTAATTTTTTTGCAGTATGCAGGGGCAATTATTGGGAAGGGAGGAGCAAGGATTCGAAAGATCCGCAATGACTCAGGAGCAGGTATCTCGATCGAGGAGGCTCTCCCGGGATCAAATGAGAGGCTTATCACCATCACAGGCACTCCCACTCAGATTAACCTGGCTCAGTATCTCATGCAGCAGAGGTAAGCCTTCCATAATGAAATTGCATTATCTCTTTCTCCTTTTGTCATTCCTTGTGTATGCAGGCAGCTAAATGCATAAAATTGGCCTGCATTTCCAATATGGTGCAAAAGGCTTTGATCTTTCTCTTCCTTCTGAATTAAATTTTATTGAGTGCACTGGCTTCATCTTTGGTGAGCTGTTGAGCATGTGTTTCTTTGCATGGGGTAAGCCTGTATCAGCTACTTGCTTCTTCTCTATGGAGAGAACAAGTTTTCTTGGCCTGCTTGAAGATATCCTGGTGGGAGAAGATATAACAGCAGTCTGGAGAGATATGTCTCAGTTCCTGTGGAAGACTAGTGATTTTGTTGTTTAGTGTTTGGAAAACAAGAAATCTCTACTCTTCCTAGGAACTGCTGATGCTGTCCACGTCTCTTCGATAACACTACCTATTGTATCCTTTTCCTTTCCTGACTTGAACGCTCTTTTGCATGGCTATGAAGGGGATAACTAGGTAATGGCAGTAGTTTAGGCTTTTTTTTTTCTATCTCCGCAGTGTTCGAGAGCATGGGGGTTATGGACGACGGTATTGAGCCCCTGGAAGAATTCTTTTTCGTCATCAAGCCAATCACCATGGGACATTATTCATATGTATATTGATTCATTAAATTTTTTCTTGATTTCCCCCCTTTTTTGGTGGTCTTTACATTCTTTTTTTGTATAAGAGGATTTTTTTCTGTCTGGGGTATAAGTGAGTGTAAGTCTGGAGTCATGGCTTTGCAGAAGACAAACTGCATGTATCTATGAAAATAAAGGATATATATATTTCCGTTGAGGAAAATCTCCAAGGCTGTCAGTCATTGATTCCGTAAGCAGATATGAATGCAACAGTATTGGCCAGGAATAGATCTTTAAATTGCAGTGAAAGGAAGCATTTAGGAAAGCCATAAAAACTGAAATGATGAGCCAAGCAAAACAATGTCTTACATGGAGCCCTTGTTTAGGACTTCAGATTGATGCAGGGAATTATTGCAGACATGACTAGAGTTGGCAAGGCTTGAAGATTTGTTTGGGGATTTGATGGCATACTTTTTTCCTGAAATGCCAAGTCACTTATAACAGAATAAGATGCACAAATTATCAATGCAGAAAATTCTGCCTTCAGGAAGTGGACCCATGATTTTAAAATATTGCACTGACTTAATTCACACAAACTCAAAAAATTATTGGTGTCAGTCAATGGACTTTCCCCAAATTCCCCAAATGTAAATGCATTTTGCATTTGAATAAATTTGTAGCAAAGCAACTGCTGAAGTAAGTTTCATCTTCAAACTTGGAATAACTCTATTGGCACCTGAAGCACTGAAGTTAATTAATTAATTGGATGCAAATTAAGAAAACAAGCCATACAACTTACAGGCTTTGCTTGAACTTCTACAGTAAGGTCATGAAACCTCCAAGCAAGTTGATGTATCCAGGTAATTAGAATCTTAAACAAATCCATTCTGGAAATCTAGTGCATGTTATCCAAGACAAGAATCTCATTCCAAGAAAATAAGCATTTTCCGCATCACATTTTCAAGTTGCAGTATAAGATGGCAACCCCAGAAGCAAAAACTCAGCACAAAGTCTTTGGAACTCTGATGCTGACACATGGGTAAGAGCATGAGGGATACCACATGACAAGTCACAATCCACTGTCAAAGGGGGATAGCTAATGATGAAACCTGTCATGATATCCATATGCAAAATTCAACAGAGGCAAATAGATTAGGACAGATCTCAAATGGAAGAATTTAACTTGACTGACTGAAAGCATCTGTAAAACAGTTAGGACTTACAGGTGCTAGGGACCCCAAAACAATATCAATAATTTATCACATTTTGATAGATGCATTCTCATATTCAAAACTGAAGCAGCAGCAAAATTCACTATCAGGAGACTAGCAAAAGTGTTGCTCAACATCAGTGGTGCACAACCTTTTCCCCTAGAGGGCCAAATTGAGGTTTCAGCTCATAAATAAGCCGCATATAAATATGGATCTTTAAGAGACTGGAGGCATCCAAGGGGCTGCAAAAAAGGTCTCTGTGGGCTGCATTCAGCCCGTGGCCCACAGGTTGTGCATCACTGCTCTACATTAACTATGTAGTGTGCATCATATGTATGCCGTCACTGAACTATCAGGCCTCACAAGACCGAATCTGCATATTCAACATGATAAAAAAATACACAGGATGGCTTGAAAAGAAAATAAAGAACAACTTTCTGAAGGGGGTTTCTCCAGAATCAGCTTATCCATAACACCTAAAATTTCATAAGGAAAAAGGAAAATACTTCTTAATTTCATGATACTATTTGTATAAATTGGGTTGACTGGGTCAAAAGTTATGGTCAATAGAACTCCTTCAAAAAGTCAGTGCAGATTAAGGGCAGGAGTTGCACAACTTGATGGGCAAATTGGTCAACAACCCTCAGTTTCAATCCACTTTTCACCAGAGGGTTGTTTTTGCTTCTTGTTTTCAGAGTAGAAAATTAAGTTGATTGCAGGTGACTCTCTTACTGCATTTTTGAATTGTGATTATAAACATATTTCATATCACAGCTTAATCATAGTCCCATCAATTGCCAATAGAATTCCCCAATTGTGGGGAGGCAATTGTCAGTTTGTCTCAATCATTGAAGGGAATTGATTCACTGGGAGCAACTGACTCAGAAACTATGCCTCATTGAATGTGTGAAGAGTTGCAGAACTTCACACACAATTTTCAGGTGTGATCAGCTGGTCTTGAAGACTCATTACAGTGAATACAAGGTGCCACCTGGTCTTGGTTGTATTCACTGTACTGACATCCAATGTGGCATCAGTTGTAGTTCTTGACCAATCCAACTATTCTTAAATGCTGCATGTGCTATAAGAGTAGCTTGTTTTGACCTGACATTTTTTACCCAAGTAGTATGGGTTAGCTGATCTTGGAGAAATGCCCTCTTCATTTCAGAGCCATCCTGAAAATGGTTCCCTAGAGGAGGATCAGAGATGCCATGTTATGAAACTGTGTAAAAATACTGCTTTCTTTTTAAGTGGATCCGATCACAGTTAAGAATGTCATTGGCACCACATAAGGGGGTATGGTAATTGTCAAGAAAACATGTGGGGGTGGACATACCAGTAATATCCTAAGCCAAGGAGGGGCAAGACAAGTACAACACAAATGGAGAAACTGATGAGCTTGACCCACGGAAGACCCCAGTCGGCTCCAGAGCACAACTGTGTCCCAGTTGATGTCTGAGTATCAAAGGCCATGGGATGGAAGCGCTTGCTGTTCAATGTGTCCACAACATCCTCCAATGAAGCCTTGGATGTGGATGTCTTGAGGCGAATTGCCTCTAGGTCCCGGTCCATTGCAGCCAGGAAGTCCCTACCATGGAAAGTCTTCCCAATGCTCACTGTCTTCACAAAGAGGTCATCTTCGGAGTCGCTGCCATCTGACACCCGTCGGAGTCGGGGTTTGTACCGTGGTCCAAGACGAGGGGGTGGGGGGAGGTTCTCAGTCAGAAGTCCATGCTCCTTGGCTGGGATCTTGAGGACTCGCAAAGCGTAAATGTGTTGGTCTGTTGAGATGTTGTTCAGCCGCTTCAGCTCTGACACCTGGAAATGGAGCAAGCACAATGCTTTTAATTCACCATATTTCATGGGCCAACCATTTTGAAAATGTTGTCAACTACTAATTTTACAGGAGAGTAAATTGATACAACATTGTATCCCTTTACAAATACAAATGTTTCAGACAGATGTGAGGGAGCTTTCCAGGTTTTCCCCCTCTTGGCACACTTCACAAGTACGCTCATGTTATACTAGACTGCACCGTAGAGAAGACATAGGTTTTAGCTAGAATCTACAAGTCTATGATAAATGAAAGTAAACAAGATACCCAACCGAGCAAGACTTGACCCATGGGCCCTCTGTGATTTGAGTCTGTCCATAAAAAAATGCCAAGCTTCTCACCGTGCAGTGATATTTGAGAGCCAACCCTTGTAAGGTATCATTGGGCTCGATTTCCTTCTCCAATATGCAGGTTGGAATGGAAACACGGATGTGAGATGAACCCATGGCTTCCTCCATCAACACCTCCCCGTTTCCCATTCCTTGCAGACGATGCCTTGATTGACGACTTTTCAGCCCATCAGTCACAAAGTCATCCATGGGAATTTCATTCTTGTCAATGGGAGGGGAACCCCAACCCGTTGGGCTCTCATCATCTGAGACGAACCAATGATCCTCATCGTCCGAGTCCCGGTCCAGCTCTTTGTAACCATGATTTGGCCTCTGTCTCTCAGAACTTCTCCACAATGACCTTCCCTTGGACATCACTTCCCACTTAGGGCCTTCAGTAACAGCCCTTACAAGGCAGGGTTTATGATAAACTCAGGGGCTGATGCTTAGCTCATGCTGAGACTGGGCTTAACATAATGGCCTTTCTGAAAATAGGGTTCAACATAACCATAGCAATAAAACCTAGAAAAATTAAAAAAGCAGATTGTAGAAAGTTGAACTCCAAAGATTCATTTGCTTAGGCCAAATCCTCATCACAGACAGGGAAAATGACAGACCCCAAAATTTTATTAAATGAATATAACTAAAATGATAAATTTGCAGTTTGTGAAAATAAGGTGGGATAAGCTAGCATTGCATTTGGCTTCACTCTGTAGACCTGCTTTCCTGGGAATGTTTTTCAACCATATTTTTAATATCAGTTATCTATCAATCAAATTTTTTTCAATTTCCTAAAGTTTCCACATCTTCAAATATCTGATTGGAAAGAAAGTTCTCGGAATTTCTTGAATATCCAGTACAATTTTTTCCAGAGCATGCTAGAATGTTCTGCGTGTGTTTATAAGTAGGTCGTGTCCTTCGGCATACAACCGTATATTATTACAGCCCTGGTGCTCTCCAGCCATGAACCAGCCCTACCCTCTTACTAAGGAGCAAGTTCGCCTGCTTCTTCTTTATGACTTCCGAATCGAGAAGAAGGCAGCCAATTCCATCGCTGACATC